TGGCATGTTTATTTTAAAAAGTATAACGATAAGAATAAAAAATCAAAATTATTTTAATTAATCTTAAAATTTTTATTGATTTAAATAATAATCGGTTTATCTCAGAATCCTGATACCGAAAATCCCAATGCTTAAAATCCCGAATGCAATTTTTAACACTATCGGGATTTTATTTTCTGGATTTTGAGCATCGGAATTTTAAGTATCAGATTCTGAGTCAGCCCCAAAAATTACCATTAGAAAATCCGCAATTAGTGATGATCATTAGTAACCCTAACTATATGATTTTAATAGGCCGTTGAACACCCTAACTGTTAGTCATCTGATCTTGCAATAATGATTGCCCTGTCACTTCGTTGACAGGCTTCTCAATTTATTTAATTATTTAATATAAAAAATAAAAAAATTTATTAATAGTAACTTTTTATATAAATTTTAGTATATTTAAATATAATAAATTTATAGTAAACTATTTATCGAATCTATAGCTAGCTAATTGTGTAATAACAAGCTTTAAACATTTAAATTCATAAAGATATTAATTAATAAAAGTTAGCTCTCATCTATTTTTGTCTAAAAAAGTTGTAATATAATTAATAAAAAAAGATAGTCTAAATATTATTATTTAACTTGTAAAAAACCTATAATTATATTATTAACAATTTAAAGCTTTTATTAATAATACTTTTTAACTAAAATTTTGATGTACAAATCTTTTTGCACTGGACTATAACAACAAATTAGATTAATTATTATGATCCAGTTGCTGTTATGACCAAGGGTAAATAGATTCGTTCATGATAATGATTCTTCATGTAACATCAATTCAAGTTGGTTATAAACTTCTTGCGTGGATGGTCGTTCTTTTGAGTCTGATCTCCAACATTTTTGATATAAATCAAGATATGCCTTTGGGGTACCATTAACAGGGTCTTCTCGTAAGTTCTCTGAAAAAATTCGTTTTACTAGTTCAATTTGACTTGTAAAATTTTCGAACGGGAACTTTCCACTTGAAATGGACCACATAACAAATCCTAGGCTATAAACGTCAGATTTTACTGTAAAAGTTGGATTTGGATCTTTTAAAAGCTCTACGTCAATAAATGCAATCATCCAGCCTTGCAATGATATTGATGGTGAAGTATCAATGTTTAATTCCGATAATACAGGATTTGATATTTTTGCCTTCCCTTCATTGATGAAAATAGCTTTTGTATTCTAAATGCAAAAGAATAGATATTTAAAATATTAATAATATAAATATATATCTAGCCAAAAGAAAACAACCATACCAAATTTCGATGAATCATTTCAATATTGTTGTGCAAATACTCCAAGCCAGAAGCTATTTCCTTCGAAATTTGTATTCTTTGAATCCAGTTCAGATCTTCATGTTCAGACAAGTAATCATGTAGATTGCCATTATTAACATATTCTAGTACCGCAAAGTAGCTTTTTGTTTCTAGATCTTGAAGAAAAATAAGGAAGGATATTCTGAATGAATACGTATCAATATAATATAATTTTTTATTGTTTTATTATGCTTACTAGTTTAAGGTTATCTATCGAAATAGTTTAACGAAACTGAAAGTGTTTTGTAGTATTTTAAAAATCTGATGAAACACCAAAAGTTGTTTTCTTAAAAATGTCGCTTATTTTATCTAGCGATTTTTTTCAGTGCAACTTTTGATTTTCAATATTACAGCAGCTTTTCAAAATTTTGAGACAACCAGAAATGAACCGAATCGATAAGTTCTAATTTAGATAACTTATTAATTCCTACTCGATTCGATCACCAGAAATTTTTGAATTATTTGGCGCGAAAAAACATTTTCAGTAGACAACCTTTAGACCAGTTCAAAAGTCAACAACGTTGGAATGATTTTTTCATAATCTATATAATAAGATACACCTAGAATTTGGTGTGGCGTATTTTCATTTAAATGAATCTTAGGTTAAAACAATGTAAAATTTTTAAACGAAAATTTCTTACTATAATATGAACCAAAAATATTAACTATATTTTTCTAGCAATTTTTGCATCAGTATAAAATAATAAGATTCTTTTTACTACAGTCAGATCAGACCTCCCTAAATTCAATAAACTAGATGCAATTCCTCTCTAAATGCAACCTCAAACCCCGGCCAAATATATATCAGACTCCCATAAATGCAATTTTTCTAAGTGCATTATCTAAAGCTTGGTTCTAACGAGTTGCATTTAGAAATGTCTGTCTGACTCTATATTTATAAATCGTTTAAAATGCATTGATCGTTTGAGTGATGATCATCACCGCACGATCGTGACGAAAATAAGCGTATTTATTACATGAAAGAGACCTCAGTGATTGAGTCACAATCAATTAGTTAGAGATTTGTCAGGGCATGTTCCTAAAAGATCGCATGACACTCTTACTCGTAGAAGTACTTTACTGCACTACAATCAATTGATCTTTGAAAACATGCCCTGACCCTAAGGGTACAGAAAAATTAATTGCAACTCAATTATTACATAATTATAATTATTTATAATTGTTTTCGTAACCGATTAGTGATAAAAATAATTGCAAGTATACATTATTGGATTAAATGAAATGAGAGATTTCTATTTGACCCATAAAACCTACTTATACTTGTTTATTATAAATCCTACCCCTAAACATTAATCCTAACCCACCTCAAAAATTAGTATTTTTTCGGTGTCTATTCGGCACTATCACTCATTTCATTTTAATCTGATTTCGTCATAATAATTGATCGAGACTCAATCTCAGAGGTCTCTTTGATGTAATAGAAACGCTTATTTTCGTCACAATCACGTGGAGTGATGATCATTACTCAAACGATCAATGGGATCCGGAATTTTGAAAATCGGCGATTGTTTTTCATGTGATAAGTTTAGCTACTTTGTCTTCACTAAACGGGCATGTGCTAATATATTTACGGTCCAACTACCCTAGTATCGCCTTCAAAAAAAGTACGGACACGCGATATTTTTGTGGCGTAAACCAATTATACTTCAAGATCAAGTGTAATGGTTTTAACTCAAAAATCAGCATAGGAAACCACCTTTGGTGCCTTAACAAAAAGTTTTCCTTGTGCGATTTTACTATCTACCTTGCTAACAATTATCCTCAATACAAACGCTAACCCTAACTTAAATGAGCTTGAAGATTTTTTGGAACACCGCAAATACGGTCACGTGTCCGTACTTTTTCTGAAGGGAAGATCTTACTAGATATTCAACAACATTTCACTGGCACATGACCATGTGCGGTACCGAAAATTCTTTAGCATGTTTAGGTTAAAGAAAATTTTTGTTAGAGCACGAAAGGCGGTTTCATATGCAGTCTTTTGAAAAATAAGCAATATTTGACAAAAGAATGTTTGATTTGAATTTTCCTGATCGTGTCAGCGAAATTTTGGTGAATTAATTAGCCACTGTTATGCATATAAGCCCTAACCTCAATTCTATTTCTAATTCTGGTCATTTGGGGCGCCGCCAATCAAAATGTACCTTAGAGGTCTGATAAGTTGTTACCAAAACGTGCCTTAGAGATCTGACAGCGAAATAAAAAATTAGGTTATGCTTAATTGTAATCCCTAATGTTACAATTCAACATGACCTAATTTTCATTATTTCGTGTAACAATTCGACAGATCTCACTACGACTTCTGACAGGGATGGCAACAGTCTGTCATTTTCGACTAGCAGTGTTGTAACCGTTAGCTGTATCTCGCGATCCAGTACTCCAAATTAGATAGGTTCAGTACCATTCAAATCGTCTTATTGAGCCGATTCGAATAGTATTAAAGTCATCCAATTTGGTGTACTGGATCACGAGATAGCCGCGGCTTAGCCGACCGTTGCCATCCTACTTTTGACGATAGCCGCTTGCTTCTTTTCCCGACAGTTCCTTTATCCAATATCACTCAGGGTGACAATTTGCATTTATTAGTTGCTGGTCTATAATGTTAGTAAACCGTCACCTTGTGCGGTGTAGGTTAAATGACAATTTATGTGATTGCCCCGTGAAAAATCTGAAACGTAACTATACAGTATAACTGGAAAAATGATTGACCGCTTCATCTGCCCAGTTATGCCAAATTGCTGCTACGTATTCAACAATTTAAACAGTAGTGTATATATCGAAACTCACAACCAATTTCGATGGAAATTTTGGCGAATAAGAAATTTTCATTGAAATTGGCTGTTCGATTCCGAAAAACGTTGTCGACTGTAAGGAATAATATATTTGACCTGTAACTTATTTCGAATAAATAAAAATATACAATAATTACCTACAGAAGTTCCGAGGAATTCTAATATATTTTGATGTTTGATTGTAGCTAGTTTACGTAGCTGTCAAAATAACATGTAGTTAGTGAACATTCAGAATAAATGATGTCATGAATGCTTATACTGACAAGTTGGTTTAATACTTCAATGTTCCAATTCGTTAATTCTTTGGATATATGCTTCATAATCACTATTTTATTATGCCATTGGCCTCTCACAATAATCCCATAGTACATAATTTTTATTAGTTGTCTGTTTTTGATTTCCGAATAGCTAATTGAGTTTATATTATTACTTTGTAGTAATTTGAAAATTTCGATATCTTCGTTTTTAGATCTTTTCACCGTTTTATTAAATTCTGCACCTTCATTACTAGATGCGTCCATGTCGTATTTAGGTGTAAGCTTTTTTTGTGTATTTTTACGAAACTGTGTTATGAATTCCCGAATTTATGAATTTTTAAGAAGATTATAAGGGTTTTGTACCTCTTAATATTCCTTATGTATACTAATTAGAGGAACCGTTGATGTTACACAACTGATCCTTCACCCGGTGTGCAACATATAAAAAAATTATTTTACAATACCAGATTATTCCGCTAGTACATGTTATGATTATAAGAAAAATGGTGTGTGATTATAATCATTTCATGTACTATCGGAATGATCCGACAGTGTAAAATGAATTTTTTATATGTTGCACACCAGGTGAAGGATCAGTTGTGTTTTTATATTACAATTACATGGTGTATGGTGTCATCATTATTTCATCTCTATTTGTACCTTATATGAGTGCGTCCAATGGAAAACCTGTCATCGGAAATTCAATTATATTTCTTGTACAGTTAGCTGTCTGTAGAAAATCTATCATGATAGACGGCTAACTGTACACGAAGTATAATTAAATGTCCGATGACAGGTTTCCCTTGGGCGCACTCATATGATTTTTTGGAACTGTGTGCGACGGTGTATGTATGTTTTATATTTAAACATTAAATGGATGCAATCGGTGCCTTCGACGCAGAGTTTGTAAAAAATAAGAATTAAATGAGAGTAGTTTATTTTAAAACTTTTATTAATAAATAAATATCGTACTTATAGATTAAATTAAAGCTATATTGTTTCAATATAATGATTTCTATACTTATCGAATATAAAAAAAAAATCAAATGAAAAAAAATTAAGTTATATACTGAGTAAATTTATGCGAATAAATGGATTTAAACGAATAATTATAGTTGAAATATAGTTGACTGTTAAATTATGAGCTCATGAGAAAATTATTCTGGGGAATTTTATGATCATCAATTAATGCGCACGATCAAAATAATATAATCGTTTACAACTAAACTCATGTGAAGAAATTTAGTATGAAGTTTTTTCCTTACTATATATGCACAAATTTAACATACGGTCTCTAATTGTTTAAAAATAAGCCCTGCTCTTGTTATTTACTAAAAAAAATGAGTACTCCCTTCTCCCTTGACATTACTCATATATTAACTAAACGTTAATAGACAATTGACATAAATATGACAATAAAGTTCCAGTACCTATTGAGTATACGTAATCTACACCCACTTAGGCATATTGTAAATGTGTATAAGGTTGGCGGCAAAGCCAAATTCTTAAAATTCGGTAAGGTTAGGGTTAGGGTCAGGGTCAAAGTTAGAATCTAGAATGGAATAGTTTTTATGTTCTGAGTCATTTCAAACAATTCCAAATTGACCTAGGTTATTTCTCAATCGGTTAATTTTTTAAAAATTTAAAATTATATCCCCAAGCGATAAATTATTAACCTAAGAAATAATATTTTATAATATAATTTAGCTATATTAGAAAAAAATGCTTTAATGCTTCAAATAAAAAAAATAACGTAGAAATAAAAAATGCGCAATACAAATAAATAATAAATCCATATAATTAATAAAAAATGCGAAATACAAATAAAATAAAAAAATGCACCCAATATTTAAATTTTAAGTTATATAAGTCGTTGGGATTTTAATTACAGTTAAACATTAATTATATTTATTTTGATCAATTAAGCAGCAGTTATTTTTTCTTTGATGCATAATATTCGATCAAAGGTTTCATACGTCAAAAGGTCGTAACTTTTCATTTTAATTAATTTTACATACGTAATAATAATTATGGGTTCTAAATTTCTTTTAAGTTTTGGGATGCAAAGATGACCCATGAGGTGTGACGAATAAAATCTGACTAATTTATTTATATAAATAAACTAGTCTGCATTTATTTGTCACATGGATGAAATTACACGGTGTTGCAAATAATTACGTGACAAATAAGCACTATTTTATTACCTTATTCAGCACAACAGAAAATTGTATTTGTCAACATGGCCGTAGACTTTCACATGCAGATAAAAGACAGAATAATATGACAAACAGGTTTAGCCAATCAAAAACCTTTTAACGAGAATTAGTAATATAGATTCCCATGTAAAATTCCATCATGTCAGCATGATGTCTTTCGATAAATTAAATTCCATTTTTAGGTACAAAATGGGTTCACATTGGTTTAAAATTTTGTCATTGAAATTCTTTAAATTTATCTTTAAAGTATGTCATACATGTATTAAATGTAATGAACAGGGATTATATTCAATTTAAATGTAATGTGATATTTTGCATGCACATGAACGCACAAATCCAATACGTATGAATAAGATAGCTGCATGACGTTGCCATGCAAAACCAGGAACGGGAGATGTGAGGAGTATCAGTATTGTATTTAGTAAATTTGACGAAGAGCAAATAAATTTTTAGGATCATATGAGTGTTGTTTTAAAGAAAACTTGAAAATTTAAATATAGCTTATGTTTAAATTTTCGGGATTTCTTCTAGCGACACTCATATATAGCGTGACATAATCAGCAAATGTTCGTTTATCAAAAATTTACCTAATAAAAAATTTTTCCAAAGATAGATCATCTTGTTGATTTTAGGTTAAATACAAATTTTAGCCTTTATAGCAATGGGTTTTAAATGAACTGCATTATTTGAATGTTCGTCAGGCTCCCAGTGCAGCGAAAATTCTTTAAAGCTTGTTTATGCTAGAGTTAGGGTCAGGTTTAGGAATTAGAAGGAAGTAGTTTATACAGTAAAATTGTTTGGCGAAAACTTTTTTAGAGCACTAAAGGTAATATTTATGCTGACTTTTGAGAAATAAGTAATTTTTAACAAAATGAAAGTTTGTTTTGAATTTTCTTGATGTGGTTAAGTTCTACCTGATCTTGGAATCTGATTCGTAGTTCAAGAAATCTGTGCACACACATTCCAGTTATTTAATTACATTGCAGATTTAGAATATCACAGATAAATTTGCAAGTCATCTATTATCCCCTGTTCGTTCATTATGTTGATTTTTTATCATATAGATAGCTGTTTGTCTTTTGATAAAATACGATTGGCCAATGCTTTGAAATGGTAACATTGCAAATTCAAGTATAGTTACGTTATATTCGAGAATTTATTCAAACTGTATGTAATATTTTATCAATATTGCTAACTTTATTTTAATCCTGATCACGACTTTAAGAACTCAAATCGCAATACTCTGAATTACGATTACAAAAACGGTTACAGTATGAAATAAACGATTTGAATCATTTGAATGCGTGAGAATTATTCAGTAATATAAATAAATCAGCATTCGTACTGTAATACGCATACTCATACAAATTAGGGAAAATCAAATAGAGACGCCCCATAGGCAAATTAGGAAAATCAAGTTCATATAGACGAAAAAGCCATATACGCAATTTCTAATTACATAACTAAACACGTTAACGTTAAATTTTTTTTTTTTATAAAAATCATGCGATGTACGATAGACAAAACCGGTAATATCAGGAATAAATCAATTAGAAAACGAGGCATGACTTTAAACCTGAAATGCTTACTTGAAATTTTCCTTTACAAAACGAAATGCACGACAAAAAAAAAGGGAAGGGATGCATACATTGTTTCGATGTCGCTTTCTTTTTTAGCATTATTCGGGGTGCTACACAAAGTCGAGTGGATTTTCATCAATCATACGTCGTGAATCACACACTCACCTGTAAATAGTGATGGGCCACGCGCGGAATTTTTAATGAGATTATTTGGCCTGCATTAGCATGTCATCTGGCCTGCATTAAATATCATCCGGCCTGCATTAACATTAATGGGCCAATTTCTAAGACGGGGTAAAATCGCCACCCAAAAAATTTTCGAACGTCACGTAAAATATATATCGAGCACTAACAAAAAAATACAAACAAAAACATACAAACAAAAAAATTTAAACGATAAGTAATAAATTAATCATTTTATTTATTTTGAATAACTCAATAAACGTATAATTTATTATCGCACAAGGTTTAAATTGGTAAAAAAATGATTTTTTACATGAATTTATATATTTGTCATGTGATGTCCGAACTTTTTGGGGTGGCTGTTTTACCCGATCTGCATTTCTACGTAGAACTTTTATTTGTTTATCATTCTATATATATATGCATGTCCTTTTTTTGCCATTGGTAGTGTTTACTATTGTAAATCGGAAGAGCGGGTAACGTTGTACAGTTTAGTTCCAATAGTTAACGTATAATAGTCTAATTACTATTAGGGAATGTACTATTGGTAGGGATTCTATATACAATTTATGGTCGATGATAGTTGATCGGAAGGGGTAGTAGTTTAAGGATGATCGGGATTGATTTAATTAAGAGTGGCTTTAATCTTAATTATGTTTTTAAGAGTGATCTAAATAAATCATCGTAATACTAATTAATTTAATCACCAAGTAATGAAGTGTTATGTTTAATGTTTCTAAAGGTCATCCTGTGTAAGCATATTACACTTGATAAACTATATAACTATAATATATGGCTCTTATTCATTCAGGAAAAAGTCTATTCAGCCTCAATGCTTACTTCCTTTATGTTAAATAAGAGACTCAGTATATACTTATATACAAAATCAATTTAGCATAATAAAGAGAGGACTGAACTATAGTTTAGCATGTACTAATGCATGTAATTGTTACAATGTGATATCATCAGATTGGTAATATGCTGTGTTTCAATAAATACATCCCAGAGTCTGTTTTTGTTTACTTTGTACCAAATGAATTTGAATAAGTGTGATTCAATCAAATCTTTATTTCAATTTTGTGGGACAATCTGTAACTTAATGTCATTCTATAATCCTTCTATAGTATTCATATATGCACCTGTTTTAGAATCCACAAAATTTTTTGAATAATTAACAGTTTATATTTGTAGTCTAGTTTTTCAATATTCAGATAATCTTTCCAATAATCTGTATAAACAATAGATTCCTTTTAAATATATTTATCTAAGATATTAGTTCATCTAT